TAATATCAATACAGAGCCTTAAGCTTAACAAGTAGCTTGTAGGCTAATCTTTATTATCATTATATTCATTTTGCCCCCAAAAAGTCGATCCCCCCCGTTCGTCTGGAGCCGGGCTGAGTATATCAGGGAGTCTCTGAGAATCCTCCCCCCTTCGCTCACACACATCGTTCAACCAGACAGCCATTTGTAATCCATGGGGGGGGCAGAAATAGTTTGGGAACCTCTGGCCTAACATAAGCTTAGCTCATGCTAGTTAGCTTATTGCATAACATTCAAAGCTCCCACAGTATTCAGGTTTGTCCAAAACTAATTCAGCAATTAATTTAAGAAAATTTAGATTTTCTGACACATGTAAACATAAAGGCTCATTCTGACATATAAACTGTTTCTTACAGAACGCAGCAGCCATGATGGAAATGTCTGTTAGCCACTGCTAGCTAACCCCCTGCTGAGTAAAACCACAGCAGTTCCCTAAAGCTGCAGTAGGTGGCAGCAGCGCTCCACAAAAAAATCGGATGTTTAAATGCCTGAAGGAGACGACAGTCAGCAACTTTAAATGGTTCTGCTTCTCTTTCTCCTCTTCCTCAGGCCTACATCCAGTTTGAGACGGAGGCAGAAGCCGTCAACATGGCTAAGTTCTACAACGGCAACGTGACGGCGACGGTTTGCGGCCGGCCTGTCAGGATCACTCACTCCATGAGCTACCCCACCATCCAGGTCAGTCCTCCAGCTCTTCTTCTGTGGTTTCCTGGCCCCTCTGCGTGTTAAAGTTGCTTCTGGGTGTTTCCATCAGGTCTCTTTGTCATTTTAGATGAAACTGGACATTTCAATAAAACTTGATATGTGAGGTTCTGTTCTCCAGGGGGCGGAGCCTCTCCAGCTGCCCTGCTGGGTTGGTCTGTGTTGCAGCGTATCAGAATCCACCTCTGACCAGAGACTGGGTCAGTGCAGTGAGGATGCTGAGGTTTTCCAGACAACAGAAGCCGAGACAAAAAACGTCGTTTTACTTTTCTTTTTTTTTTTTTTTTT